ACCCCGGGCTTCTGACAAAACAACCCGGGCTTAAGCCCAGTAAGCCACCCCCACGCTCCGCCCCTGATCTCATCCTGGATCTCTCTCTCATCCCCTAAGCTTGCACCACAAAGTCAGATTTGTAATGGGATATGATGAGAAGTACAAGTAAAAACAAATGCAACTACAATCAAGACTAGGAAGGTTTTTGTCCGTTATTTGCGAGTCTCTGTAAAAATCTGTTGCTCAGAGAGAAATCTGCCATAGATTGACGAAACACTAAGTGAGATAAAGGTTAATGAAACAAAAAGGAAAATACAGGAGCCAGAAGACTTGCATAACTGACTTTCAACATCCTTTTACATATTTATTTCATCCTAAATTCCTGTGAGCATGACTCATCTATGGAAAGTCCTTTCTAGTGCTGAAAAAAAAAAAAACTACCTGTAAATAAAGATTTGGGGTTATTATCTCACAATTTTGAGTCACCAACTCAAAAGTCTGAGAAAAGAATTCAAAATTTGACTTCATAATTTGAAATTTTGAGACAATAACCTGAAAATTTTGACTTATGGATCACCAAAAATGTTTGGTTTTTTTAGTGGCAGAAACAGGCTTCCATATTAACCTGCCCCACATACTATTTGTCCTTTGGTGTCTTAATGTCCATCCAGGTAAGGAAATCCCATGAAGTTGATTCCGTTCATGTGGATGTTATAATCACTATATTTGCACAATGACAAAAAAAATAACACATTAATCCCACATTTCATTTTTGGGATTTTGGGAAGCTGATTACTTGTAAATAAAATAAGTGATCATATTTAGAAATAAAACGAGTCAAATAAGATGATTGCAACAGTAGTAGATTATGCACTTGGACATATTTAATTGAGAAATGCTAAAAATATTCAGTAAAATGACAAATTTGCCCCAGAAGGGATCATTATTTAGCAACCGTGTTGGATTTTCTACTTGACTGATGACTTGTAATCTCAGTGTTGGTCAGACTGTTGATAACCTTCCTCCTCCTCTTGTCTTGTGTCAGCGTGTCCGAGTTTGCCTGTCACATCTCAGGCTGCAGTGCGGTCTTCAGTGCTCTGGAGGAGTACGAGCACCACTACAACGCCCTGCACAGGCACGTGTGCTGCTCATGCCGCCGCTCCCTGCCGAGCGCCCGGCTCTTGGACATTCACATTCAGGAGTGGCATGACTCTCTCTTTACTATCCTTGCCCAGAAACAGGACATGGTAAGTCGGTGTCAAATAGAGCTCTGCTGTTAGGAGATTTTTTTATTTTTTTTATTTTTTTGAAGCACAATGACATTTTCTTCACATTTTTCAGTACCAGTGTTTGGTGGAAGGCTGTGGACAGACGTTCAGGACTAATAAACACAGGAAGGACCATTTAATAAGAATTCACAAGTATCCTCCAGACTTCAGATTCGATAAAACCAAAAAGGAACGAGGGTAAGGCTGTGTTTTGTCCACTAGATGGTAGCAAAATGTCAAATTATGACTTTTAGTCAATCTCCTTATTGCCTTATCTACTCTTTATATTCTTACATTACACTCTACATGTCTCTTTTATTATTTATTTAGTGACATGATAAGATCAGACACATTATAGCATAAGATTTTTTTGCTTCTTTATTGATGCTGATGTGTAAAATTAGTATTTTTGTATTATTTTTCTAACTCTGTGAAAGGCGCAGTTTAAAATAGCATCACTTTAATATGTTTGCCATATGCGTATTTTAAATATTGTATCTTTGTTAATAGAAGACGAGAGACAAAAAGAAAGGAGCAGAAAGACGCAGCCATGGAGGTGGTGGATGATGTGTGTGAGTCTGAGGGTGTCTGTGAGGTTATGTGTAACTCTCCGTCCGACGAACCCGAGGGAGGGGAATCCATGGAGACACACGAGTGTGAGGAAAAAGCCTCTGCCGAGGACGTTCTTGCTGCAGCCCAGGACACTGAGAGCACAGCGCCACGAAAGCCTCAGTATTCCTACAGGTTAGCCTTCAAATCTGTATGTGTTAAAACTAAATCAGCCATTTTTAAGAAATTTGCAATTTAAAAAAATCCAGAATATTATATAAGTTAAATATGTGTAAAGTACTGATTACAGCACATGTGTACTACAGTTTTTTAGCATTTAAAACTAAGCAATCTGAGGCCCAGAATTGAGCAGCTGTGCTCTTTTCTCTCAGGATCCCCAACACTGTGTGTTTTGGTCACGGTTCGGTCCGAGGCTTTAGAGGACGGCGAGGAAGGAGGAAGTGAAGCATCAAAGTCAAGGCTGCTATTTTCTGGCTTTTCAGATTTACAGCTTTATAAACTTTGTACAGAATACCTTCACAGTCATAGATGATTTTAACCTGAAATAAAAAACAGTTTTATTTTGCAAAAATTGCAAGTTTCCTTTTTTTATTGTTGTGTTTTTTGTTTGTTTGTTTGTTTTGTGGTAAATGAACTGCATTCATGTGGTGCTGTTCTGGTGTTGCTGATCCCTCAGAGCAGTGCTGCATTTACACAACAACCAGCACTTACCCATTCACAATTTGACTGGAAAAACTGAAAAGGCATTTATTAGAGTTTTATATATATATATAAAAAAAAGGATGCAGTAATACTTAACTGCTGTGTTTTCAATATAAAAAAGCAGGTTTTTGGAGCCCACTTTAAATTTTGTGTTAGGAGAAACAAAAGAGAATGTCAGGGATTTTCATAATAAACTTTAATAATTGTACAAAACATCTTCCACTTGTGAAATATAAAATACACTGTACCTTAATAGCTCATGTAAGTTGGTCTGCCGCGTTCAACACTTGGAGTGTTTGCAAAACTACACGAGGAGTTATCTACATTTAGTAATGAAGCTGATCTCGAGAGCTCTTCTGACACCTGTGCAAAAACATTCTCCTTTTGAGGTAAGGGCTCGAGTAAAGCAGGTTTATTGTATTTATGAAATGAGCACAGTTGTTAACGAGCTGGAAACTGTTGCTTAAATCTTATTGTTACAGTAAATTAACCTTTAAAGATCTTCTGGTTCTCACTCCAGTTAATGTAAAGCACTGAAGAACTAAGGCACAAAAGATGTAACGTGTAGAAACTACATTCTTTAAATATGTATGTTTTTGTTTTGTTGAAGAGGAAAGGCCTTTAAAGTCTTTTTAGAGTTTTACAGCATCAGGAGCTCACCTCAGGAAGTGATTAAAGGATAACTTTAATTTTCTATATTTCCATTTTAAGTTCAGAGACCCTATTAAAACACCAAATCCACAGATTCTCAACCATCACTTTCGCATCTTTGCAACATTAAAGTGTCAAAGTGATTCCCCTTATTTGTGAAGCTGTTTCTAAATGAGCGGTTATGCCCATTAAAAAAACCCGAATTAATCTACCATACGTTGCTTTTTGGATAATATTCGAGCTCTGTGGCATACATGAATAAGATAAATCAGAAATGACTATCAGAAAAATATAGAAAGTCAGCAAAACTGTCATTTAAATATTTTTGCTATAAATTAAAACTCTCCTTGAAGAGGCGGGACATTTCAAAGCATTTAAAATAGAAATAATTAACAAGCCGTTGTCTTTCAGTGCGTCATTACAAGTTTTTGCTTTCAGCTCAAAGCAACAGGCTCTGAAAAAAATCGTCTTCTGTGGTCTTCTCTTACTACAGTAAAATTACTGGAACTGAAGCATACCTGAGCTGGGACAGCTGAAAATAAAAAAGGCAATCAACCGTTTTGTTTTTGTTCCTGGAAATAATGAACAGCTTTAAAATGAAGCGAGACTGTTATGTTAACATATCCCTGCTGTGGGTTATTATATTATTCTTTCCCCATTAGCTCTTTAACGAAAAACATTTCATTCAATATGAGATTTCAGACAGATTATTTCATAAGAATATTTTTGCTGGATAAAGCTAAGGCAGTTTCCCCAACGAAGCAGCTTAAAAGTTAGTATGAGTTAGGACAAGTAGTACATCCCATATGGTCCACTGAATAGTCCTGGTACGGGTAAGGCAGGCCGAGGTCCGTTCAGGGCCCCGTATAGCGCCGGGGCGCCTATTGGTGCGCTCAAGGGGAAAGGAAAGGCGAAGGCCGGGAGCAACGGCTTCGTGGCCAGCTTTAGTTTCTCCAGCTCGGCCTCCTGCAGTCTCTTGGCCTTGGCCCTGCGGTTCTGAAACCAGATCTTGACCTGAGTCTCTGTGAGGCCGAGGGAGCTGGAGAATTCCGCTCTCTCCGCGATGGAGAGGTACTGTTTCTGTCGGAACTTCCTCTCCAGAGAAAGAAGCTGAGAGGTTGTAAAGGGAGTTCTGGGTTTCCTGTTGTTCTTGTGTTTCCGTAGGTTGCACGGGCTGGGGCTGGGGAGTCCTGGAAATATAATTAAGAAGTTATCTACACTGCTAGAACTTCGGCGATCGATTTAATAGCATAACTAGTGATTGTTTGAAGTTTAATTTTTGATTGCGCATAGACTATAATCTTGAAGATCACGAAAATATCAAACACAAGCTTATATTCTATATCCTATATATATATCCTAACTATTCTACAGTCAGTGCACCTTTGCCGTTATTTACTCTTTGGAGGAAAGTTCAAGCTCCCTCTCACTGTTGGCTCTTAATAGTTTTATTACAGACAATTATAATATTTTATACAATCGTTTAGCAGTCATTTTGTTTATGCTTCTTTGAATATGTCTATACAAATTGTTGACGTTTTTGTTTTAACTATCGCACAAAATGTCGCAATAGCGCATTCTACACTCACTTGGAGGGGATGCGCAAGGCGCCTGCAACCAGGAGCTCTTCTCCTTGTCGCTGAGGTCCACCGCCTCCGCTTTAGACCGATAAAATCCTCTCTGTGACGCACAATCTGCGTCCTCTATCCGGACGCAACCCGAGCCAGGCTCTGAGTCTTGGAGGCTTCTGCACGGCGTCCTGTCTGATATGAGTGATTCCACACTGAAAGGCAGATCTGAACTTTTGGTTTTACACCTTCTAACAGGTGACAGGTCCAGCTCATCAGTTCCAATTCCATCAGCGGCTCTATCCTCCGGCGAAGTCTCCCCGGGAGCAGCCACGGGCGGTGATCCTTGCGCAGGATTCATTACGCACGACTGCGGTGCCATACAACTAATTTTCCTGCCGCTCTCTCCGACACTGTTTATGTTTTCGTGGCTTCTCTTGAGGAGATAAGTGCTAGTGCAGATGTTCCTCCGATGACGCTACAGCTGTGTGTTTTTCAGGCTTTTACGCACAGACTTGTCTCTCCGTTAGCGCAGTGCCACAAGTTCCCCTTCCATCTTGCCGCCTGCCTATCAGTCTTTAGATGTTTCCACGTGACCGGGCTAAAGCGGTTTCTGATAGGCCGAATTTGTAAAGACAGTGTTGCGGTCCATTTTATATGCTGTGGTTTCTGACAGATATAAACCTCTCGTCAGTGGCACAGCTCGAGTAATTCTATGTAAGGTAGGACAGATGTGCAGTTCCTACCTTTTAAACACTCTTTGCTGGAATCCAAATCTAAATCTGCACTGGTTAATATTTTTATTTAGAGTTTATCAATTCGCCCATGCTTGTCCCCTTCAGTTCTTACAGAGCATTTTTGTGTTTTTAATTTTCTGCTTTATCATTCCCAACTTTGCCTAAATAGTCAAATATTCCCTTTCTGAACTGGTAGACAACAAAACAGAACCAGAAAATGGGTTGAGCATACAAAGACATCAGGTGGACACAAACGGACTCTAAATGAGTGCTAAGATTTGGTGCGTGCCTTCTGGGTGTGTATATAGTGTATTTATTTGTTTTTAAAAATATTTACCATGTGGTGCTGTGATTGTGTCATAAATCCATTCACAGTTTAATAGATGTAAACCTCACCAGATATATGTCACACAAATTCTTCTCTTTGGGCCCCTTCTGGGAAGTTGTACCGGAGAATGTGTTGACAGTAGTTTTTCACCAGGTTTCATTAAAACAGTAAGGCAGTCCAGGCAGCGATTTACAGCACTCTTTATATTCCAAAGAGTTATTATCACTGTAAATTTCTATCTTGTGGCCTGTAATCAAATTGTCCATGGCCATATTTCAGCCTATTGTGTTCATTGTCTGTAATCCCTTTGAGAGACAGTAAAGGGCCCATTCAAGCAGCCCATCCAAATTGGCCTTGTTCTGCAGCTCTTCAAATCAAGTCAAATCATTTTCAGTGAAACTCTATATGTGAGCGTTCTTCTCTCTTATGGGAACTGCTGCTGGGCCTGCAGCGGCAGCGCACTGACTGAATGACTGTCTGTAGGACAATTGGTTAAATGGAGTTAACTGTTTCTCTCCCTGAGGTATGTCCCTGCTTTGATCCTGCTGTGCCTGGCGCCTGTCTGCTCTCCCGCCCCCTCTCCCCCTCTGTGTGACAGTGATAGATCGCTGGGTAACCATACAAGCTTTCAATGACTGTAATTTAGTGCGACATTACATTCTCCTCTAGTAACTGTGAATATTACCACTCTCACTCTCCGCCTGTTTGAAAGGAGACGCTGGGCTGTCTGTAGTGTTGTTGTTTCTCCTCTATTGTTTTGTAATGAATGAGTAAATATTTAAATAAAAAAAGTTTCCTGCTTCTCTAAGAATGGCACACACATGCCACAAGAGTCAACCAAACATTTTGATGTTGAGAAATTAAAATCTATCTATAGGACAGCTGCAGCTTGTTTTCACATAGTCTGGTGTTTAATTAATAATGACTTTTCAGCATGTTTGGAAAAAGTAGATCACTTCTAAGCAATCTTTCATTATACTGTGATCAGCAAACACTGGTGCGGGTTTATCCATTGCTTTTCCCCTTTGGAATCAGCTCTTATGTGTTTTCATTTTATGCCAATCCATTCATCCTGTAGGTTATAAGATTATTAACTATTTACATGTAAAGTCAAAAAATGTCAAACTGACTTTCTTTCTTTACCCAACTCCAAGTCCTGCTTATTTAACTCAGTGGAGAACTGTGTAAAGAGTTAATTGTGGTTTTGTAAAAGAGTTTGAAACCTTTCGAACCAAGCATGTCGAAGCAGGCTTTATATATTTCATTCTTTAAATCTTTCCCTTTCATCTGAGTTGGCAGCGCTCGCAGCTATCCTAAGCAAACTTTTGGGGAGGGGGCTAGAGTCATGTGGGATAAACATTTATGAAACGCGCAGCGGGGAACTTGTGGTGGTGAAAGTGTATCGTCTTTAAAGGGGACGAGAGAGGCCTGTCTGCGGAAGCATAACAGAACATTATTGTGTGTCTGAGTGGACCTGCCAAAGCTGGTATGTCAAAATGTCAGTGGATGGAAGATCACAAACTCTTCTTTCCCTGCTTACATTCACAAGGAGTTGCACTCTGTCTTGTTTTCTTGAAATAAACTG